TTACAACTTTCCTGTCCCAGCCCTGGTGGTTGCCATGCAGATGGAGAACGACATGTCCTGTGTTACATGGGCCCCTGGGTAGATAGATCCCATCCTGCAAAAATATCTCAGGAAAACAGAGGGAAAAGCTTAGATTCCTCTTCATTATGGGGAATCAGGATGATTCAGAAAAAAAACCAACAATTACTTTGTGAGAGAGCAAGGTGAGATGAAGAGAGCAGTGGGAAGGGGGAAGAGTGTTAACTTTGGAGCTAGAAATGCTCCAGCGACTCACATTTCCTTTTTTTCCTCCACATATCAAGGGCAGCAATCCCAATGCACAGTGCAACAAGAGGAACACATTTTATTGAATTTCTGCACGCAGAGGTATCTGTCAATCCAAGTTTAAATCATTTAGTGTTCACCACAAGCTGTGAGAGTCCCAGGTGACATCAAAATTTCAGTTTTCTGCACTGAATCTTGCACTGGATTAGCATCTGCTGAAGTTTCCACAGCCCAAAAGCGTCCAATAATCCAAGGCTGAACCATTGGAGTAGGTTATATGAAGCTTCATCCCAACAGTCCAGAAATTTTTCTGGACGTCCCAGTTTCAGGGGCAGTTGAACAATGTCTTGTTTCAGTATCTGACTGAAATAAGAACTGTGAGATGGTTTCTTGGTGGCAATACATGAGCTCTATGTGAGCCACACACTTCCCAAGCTGCTCACTCTGCTCCCTTTGCTCACTGCAGGGTACAGACTAAGTTTTTTGCTGCATTTCTCCTTCCCCACAGGATTCTTCACTTCCTGTATTAAGGTTTGTTCTTGGCGTTGTCTGAAAATAGTTCATCACTGCAAATAATAGTTCTAGCCACCAGAGATGCATAAGTACACTTTGAAGTGGGTGAATCAATAAGACAGTTTTGAATTTTTGTTTTGCTCTGTGAATTTATCACCCTTTCCCATATCTCCATAGAGTGCCTATCAGTAGGGTTGCTAAAATTGCCTCCATCCCTGTTCTGCAGCTAAAATAAATGTAAGAACAAATGTATCTATAGAAATGTACATTGGTGAGGAACTAGAGAAATATAATGAAGGAGATGCTTTTCACAGCAGTGCAGTAATCCCCAGAGCAAACTTTGCAGGAAAACTATGGACAGAAGAAACTGGGCTGATCCCACAGTACTCTGCTGTTTCTTATCTCCTCTTTTCTATCAGTGTAGGTAAACCATGAAAGACTCTCCAAGGCATGTTCTAGAATGTGATCTGGATGATCTGTAAGGGTTTGGAAGTCCTGGAGTAACATAGCCATGCTTGGCACAGTAGTAAGTCCCAGAGCACAACTTAGCACAGGAGAAACAGAATTTGTAGGATTTTTGAGAACTGTTGATCCTGGGTAGCGTCCAAAGTATACTTATGCAGTATAAAATGGTAATGGTATTAATTAGATACCATGTCCTGCATTTCCTGGAGCTATAAGGGTATCTTTCTGTTTAATAACATCAAATCTTGTTGAACACCACCTTGGTACATCATTATGGTGACACGCAAGAGAAGCTCGACCTTCCATTTGCAGCTTTATAAGGTGACAAGAGAAACCCCTTAATAAATAGAATATCAGAAAATTTGTTTCACACCTGCCCCCACACACTTCCCACACTGTGTTGGCAGCCCAGCAGTGCGTTGAATTTAGCACACATTTACCTGTGGAGAGCCGATATGTTCAGAGGATCAATGCTTACCAGCAGAACTGTACTGCAGCTCATTGTAAAACTCATCCATGTGAGTGGATTCAGCCCTTGAAGTCATTTTTCTAAAGTGGTGTAGCAAAAAAAATGGAATCCAGACAGCCTGGGTCTCCTATAACCAACCTGAACAGTACACCCATGGCAAACCAGAGGGTTAATGTCAGTTGCCATTCCTCATGGGTATTTCTTGCTGACAGCAGCAGCATCATTCTGCCTGGTAAGGTAGTGCTAATTCCAGACTGTAGCCTTTGCAAAAATGATGGCACAGAGAGAGGGATTTTGGGAGGTATTTAAATAAGTGAAGTACCTGGCACAATGGAGTCTGGCAGCTCTAGCTAGTGCACTTCATTTTCTCTTTTTTTTCCCCCCAGATTTGTCTTTCATTTGTTTCCCTGGTCCCTCTGTTTATTTCAGCAGTGCCTGACATGGGGACGGTGTGTTAACAGGCCTTAATATTGAACAATTTCTGCTTGTTGTTAGTTATACATCATTTAGGGCTGTGATCATAAATTGTTCAATCACAAGCTTTAGTCAAAACCAGCATTCTTTACTGATGTCTTTTCCCAAGGGTGTTGAAAATTTGATTGTTCAAAGTGCAAATATGGTTTAGCAATCCCTTCCAAGAGCCATTTATCAGAAATCCTAAGGAGGTAATATATAAATGTGGGATAGGAAACCTGCACATTAAATGGGATTTACCAGCCAAAGCCTTTGGAACTGCTTGCCTGTGAATGACTGGAATGGAGCAGAACAAAGTCAATTACTGACTGTAATTAAGGAGTGGATGCATTTAAACTGTAGAGAGCAGTAGCAGTCTTCTTGAAACTGTCTAGTTACTCCAAAGATTAGTCTGAGGAAAGAAAGAAAAGGACTTGAACTATATCTTACAGAAAGTATATTTTAAATGAATTCTCTTCCCTCCATTCTATGATCTGTTTTTACAGATTTGCTCATAAAACACTGATAATATATGATTATCAAAATAACACATTCAGACAAAGAAACTTTCAACATGTATTTTGCTTTGGTCTTGTTAGCAATGGAGTATCTCTTTTGCATATCATACAGTGCAAATATTTATGCAGTGCTGAATACTTGTATTTTAATAAAGCCTGAATTTACTGAACGGAAGGCTGAACTATGTTGTGTCCTTTTTAAGCCTTCAAAATACAGTAAATCTAATTACATATGTTGCTCTTACTTTGAAAATGTTATTCCATTTTATAATTTTAATAATGATTTGTTTATACTGGGAGAGAGGCATTAGATTGAATTGTTGCCTGTGTTTAGTCTAATTCATATCTGCATGTATACATTAATAAATTGTGATATCATATCCTACATTTTGTACCCAAACCTTGTCCTGTGAGCTGGGCACAGAACTGGAGGTCAGCATTTTCTGCTGCTCACCTTCTGTTAAATTTTGGCTTTTTATTTCCTTTTGATAAAGGGAAGGGTAAGTGTGTGAGCAGTGATTAACGTTATGGCTGTGTACTAATAAGGGAATTAAGATTTCCCCAATAAATAAGTCTCCCATGCAATGGGGTGGCTGGAGATCTGCTCCTGATGGGTGAGGACGGGATGGGATGAACATCTGCAGCCAGGCAGCCCCCGAGCCCACGCTGGGGGACCATTCCCACATTCTCCACAGCACTCTCACAGGATGTCTCTGCTGGAGCTGCACTGACGGGATTTTCCTTAATGCTGATGACTTTGGAAACCTTCCTTAAAGGCATTTCCTCAATAAAGGGAGGGTTATAGGACAATTAATGAGACATTAAGCTGTTGGGTTGTTGTTGTTTGGTTTGGTTTTTTTTTTCCTGGTAGTATTTCAGTTTTAAGAAAGATGCAGAGAGTACCCAGGCTGGTGAGGATCTGCTGGTTTTTGCTTCAGTAAAAACTCTTGATACGGGGGAGATGCAGTGAACAGTAGCACTTCATGTTGATGGATTTACATAAATAGGCTGTGCCAGGTCTTAATGGCTTTGCTCTGTTTTTCCTCCAACTTTGGTCAGAAGAAAATCTCTATTGTCCACTGTATTCAATCATGCCCTGAAAAAAAAAAAAAACCTGAAAAGATTTGGTCCTGAATAATACCATGTTCCAGAGACCATCCCAGTGTACAGACTGAACCTGCATCCCCAAAACCACTGAAACCCAAGTGTTCAATTCCCAGACGCAGATGTTACATTTTGCACTAGTAACTCTTAACAACAACAAAATCAGAATAAACACATTGATTTTACAGCTGGCAGGAGCTGAGCTGGTTTGGAGAATGGGCATGATGAGCTCCTGCCCCTTGCAAAATGTAGTGGAGGTGTAACCCTCTGTTCACTTGTCTGCAGACACACAGAACTGCTGTGCTCTGTGGCCACGTGCACTAGGGTTCTGCTGAATAGTCCTGGGGCAAAGCACTGCACAGCTCTGTGCCTCAGTTTTGCCATCTGTAAAATTATTTCAACCTATTGTGTGAAATACCCGGAGATTTCCTCTGGTGAAATATGTATATGTGTATCTATAAAATAAAAAGTGATGTATCACGGTGCTTCACAGAAGTTCAGACCAAGAGAATATAGATGTATATTTCTACCAAATATTAGGTTAGGCAGTGAAACAGCATTATCAGGGGACTGAATATTCTTTTGATAAATATTCCCAGTGAGTGGGTCAAAAATGTAAATTGACTTCTATTCAGACAAACTGGGGATTATTTTTTTCATGATAAATGGGCTTCTAATTACTCTGCTGCAGCCATGGTGGTAAATATTTTTTTAGTGCAAAAGAGTGGCATTATTAATTTTACCAAAATGCTTGGAAGTGGACTCTGGAATTACAGGTATATAATAAATGCACAAATTTGAGAATGAAGGTTCCAGGTATAAAAATAATGGTAATACTAAAATTGAAATGGGAAGTTCAAATGACAGGAAATAATTCTCACATTGCATTTCTTTCTTTTCAGGGTGCTTTGATTTCCCTTGAACTGTGTCTTGTCACATTGAGTTTCCTGGCTTTTCCTAACTTTTGTCACATTCCCATTATTTTTGCACTATTTGTGTTCGGTAGTTGAGTTGCTGAGACAATATCTCGTTTGTTGTGACATATTCAAAACAGTTTTCAGACAGAGGTTCAAAACTCCTCAGTAACTCGGCACTGCAGCAGATAATTCTTGGTACAAAGAAAAAAGCATTTGGGGGCCTAGGAGGGAAAATAGAGAAAAATCCTCTGTTTGGTGTGTGTTTTACTTACCTGTGTGTGCCCATGCCCTCCCCAGATCACGACAGTGTCAGGAAATGAGTTCCTCCTCCAGTCGGATATCGACTTTCTCATATTGGATTGGTTCCACGCTATCAAAAATGCAATTGACAGATTGGTATGTATTTGTTTTGGCTGTTACCTTTATTAATTAAGATGTAGCAATTTCAACTTCATTTGCTCAGGCATCTCTACAGGTTTTAGGCAGTCAGCAGCTAGCTAGACATTCCTTTCTCTGAAGGACATAAAAATATGTATGCAAATCCACTAAAAAATGTCAGATAAACAAGGTTGTTGCACAAAAATGTCATTTGATTCTTGCCTCGAAAGGGAACGCTACATTTATTTCTCTGAAATAACAAGGACATTGGCTTGCTGAGGGTTGTAAAAGCACACAAGCACTTAATAACTAATGAATTTTTGCATTTTCTGTTTATGCAGCATACAGTATATAATCTTCAATAGAACTATTAATACATTTGAGCCTTTTATGAATTTTTGTATTACTTATTCACAAGAATAACACTAGCGAATAATATTCCTTTGTAACTGATTGCTGTTATTCTCCCAGGAAGGCTGGGGGTTTTCTACTAGAAGTAAGCAGGGTTGCATTTTATTAAAACAGTTTTTAATTACCAAACCAGCTTCAGCTGTAGCTTTTTCTTTCTTTTTTTGCCTCTCTCAGTACAAATTCCAAATGTCTTCCTCCTATCCCTGCCTGATTCGGGAACATTTATTTTTTTTTTTAGAGGGCATTGACTTTCCTTGTTCACAGCAGAATCTGGTGAGAGAAAAATATCCCCATTTCTTGCATTTTTCAGAGGTTTTGCAGCAGTGGAATTTGCAGCTTCTTTGAAAGGGTTAATCTGAACACGGCTACTGTTTCCTTAAAGAGCTACAAACATTCTATTACCCTGAGGCTATAATCAGCCAAGGAAAGTTTGATCTGATGATGTATGTCTTCATATTGTGCATTTCATTGGGTGTGTGAGGATATTGATATCCGACTGAAGATTTTGGGGTGGAGTTTTCCATGGAGACTCAGAACCCTTTCTTTTTTTTTTTTTTTTTTTGTAAATTTTTTTGGGGGCCATATTATTCAACGAAACATCTGATAGTTTTGATGATATATTTCTTTTAGTGTAGCTAAAGTAATATTATGGCATCAGCAGCTCTGGGCATGCAGTGAGCCACAGCAGCAGCAGCTGGTGGGGTACAACTGGTCCATGGTTGGGGCATGGGCAGGCAGGGCTGGTCCTGGCCAAGGTTTTTCTCTGCTGTGTGCGCAGGACAGGATGGCACCACGCAGCACTCGATGACTACTTCATCCCTGTCATTTATTTCAGTTTTAAAACTTTGAATGAGTGTAGAAAGCCTGGCAGCTTTCCAGGCTGTTGGGATGGCTAAATCTCACCTGACCAAATGCCACAGCAAGAGACGTAGGATTAGCTGAAACAGCATCTCCTTTTTTCGTTTATTTTTTTGTTTCCTTTCCCTGTTAATTTTCCGTTGGTTTACCAGTGAATTAGAGCAAGAGACAAGCCCCCACAATTCTTTCTTAAGCTTAAATGAGCAGAATTCAACCCCCAAAATTTGCGGTGACGTTTGAAACAATTGTGTTTGTGAGAATATTCACTGTAACTATCTAAACCAGAAAGGCAATTTAAACACTCTTTGCAAGCATTTGGAAGTAGCCTGCAATGTGGAAATAATTTTGGTCTCTAAAGCTTAAAGAATCAGGCCTTTTGTTTTCCTCACTTAAATGGGAATTTATCTCAGAAATTAAGATCAGTCTGTCAGGGCCATAAAAGCTCTGCCATATGACAAATTTTGCATTACACTTTCCTTAAATTATATACTCCCTGCACACTTGCTCTGTGTGTGTCTGTTAGCTTCTGTACTGGCATTCTGGAATCTCTTGCTTCATTCTTACAAATAATAATTTTATTAAAAGCATACACATATGTATATATATATATATATTCTTTTCCCAGCCAAAAGAACAGAGAATTACATCGAGAAATTTGGAGTTCAAACTCAGAAGATCCTCCAGCATCGAATTACTGAATAGCTTAGACACTGAATCCAAAGAGCCAAAGCCTGAACACAGAAAATCTTTAAGTAAGGCTTTTTTCTTTCCTGATTTTTCTTTCCTTTTTTTTTTTTTTTCTCCTTTTTAAATAACTATGCCATTACAGGGTAAGATAATTTTTATTACATACAGAATGTAAGGAAGATCACTGAGAATTTTCAAGCTGAATATGTTCTGTGCTGATATACATAACTTGCATTTAAGTAAAGACAGTTACTAGCTCCACACTTTTAAAGGGTGACATTCCCTCCTAAACAAAATAAATTTGTTTAGGAGCAAAGACATTTCTTTCAGCCATTTATTTTTAAAAATAAGCAACATGAGCCCTACATTAATGGTCTGTTGCAGTTGCTTTGTTTCCATTTTAGCAAAATACCTCAAATTGCCAGAGTAATTTTGTCTGTTGTGTATTTATACACTGAATTGCTGTAAGACCTGACATATCCTCCACAGCAGACAATCAGTGCTGCATCTCTAATTTTCTAGAAGGTAAATTCCAGGGTTTGAGGTCGATTTTTGTCAGTGTAATTAGAATAGAAAGTGATCTAAAACTAGCAGAGAGGTGCTTTACTCCACTCAAAAGACTTCCCTTTCCCAGTTTGTGCCGAGATGCTTGTGAAATTGTGGGCAGCAGCCACAGGAGCTGGAGCTGACCCTGAACCACTCACTCAGCATTTTCTTAATTTCACCCTCTCCCTTGAATTTTGGTTTTCCTCCTTTGTTTGGCAAGAGATTCACATCCTGCTCCTAATGTCAGCGCTGTGACAGCTTTAGACTGGCAGGTTGGTACGAGATACCTATAGGTATGGAAGGGCTCTGTAGGAATTTGCCTGCATGAATTTAAGCTCAGGATCAAAGCCTGAGATGTCAAGAAAAGGGTTGTATTAAAAAGACCCAACATAGCTATTTTTAATGATAATTATCCACACAATCATAAATATATGCACACATGCATGTGCGTGCACACAAACAGAGACTCATTAAATAGTCTCTTTCTGCAGACCACAATTTTTTGTTGTTGTTTTTCTGTTATCTTGGAGGTTTGTTTCTTTTTTTTTTTTTTTTTTGTAACAGGCTTTTTTTCTCCTTTGTGTTATAAAATATAAAGTAGCCTGAATGTAGCTTGTGAAAAATTGTCCCAATATCTTTGTTCTGGGTGTTACGTTGCATTTCTCAGAGGAAGAAAAATAAGACTGAGAACACTGTAAGTTCTGAGGGGCTGATTCTGCTCCTATTGTAGCTAATAGCAAAATGCCCATAAACTGTCTCAGCACTCGGGGAATTTTTATTTATTTATTTAGACTTCTCACATATCTTTAAATGATAATTTGTCAGACAAAACAGAAAAAGTGACTATGAGCAGTGACAGAGACTTAGTCTATGTTTCTTTTCAAACCTTAGAGAATCCTGAATAACCTCCGTTTTGTTAAAGGCTATTTAAACTATTAAAAAAATGTGAAAATATCTGCTGTGAAATCTCACTGAATCGAAGCTTGCATTTAAATACCGGAGATTGGATTGCTCCTAAAATATGTATTCAGAACTTTTTTTTTGGCCCCTTGAGATCAAGCAATTATGTGGAATTAGAAAAATCATATTATTCACTTACTTATTAGTAGTCTAAGCACAAACTGTATTGTCAGTTTTCTGCCTTTGGCTTTCTGTGCCCTTAATGTTCACACAAGTATCGTAGCCAGAATTATCGGCAGCTAGAGCCAAAATTGCTTTAAAAAGGCATGAGAACTGGTAATGACACATTGTTAGCAGTTAACAGGTGGTCGTTTCATTGTCCAGTTTGACTGCAGAGCACAAAGATATGTGCAATATCTGCAAGTGTGTTTATAAAGTTCTTACAAAGTTTAACGATTTTATAATTTTATAGTGCTCTTACGTTATTGACTATTGCCAAAGCCAAAGCCAAACAAAGGAGATTTTTTAAAGATGGCTTAAAACTCCTCCAGTTTAACACAAAAGACGAGCAACTGATGTGTTAGCAGTTCACCCCCCCCTGCACCCTCATAATCTTTAATGCAATATTCAGACAGTTCAGCCTCATTTGTATTTACCTTCTCTACATTTTAAAGGCTGCAAAATATGTCCTGTTTTAGCCTTGGTACTGCTGCATCATTGCTTTTTATTTTTTTCTTTTTAGCAGCACAAGTATATAAAGGACAGGTATATCCTAACCGAAGCATTCCAGTAATTTACTCTTTAATTTAAAACTGGGGAGACTGCCCCCAGAGACTTAGTAGCAGGAATTTGGTTTTTATGTCTAATCCTAATTGCTTCTGCTTACACTACAAGGACAAATGGTAATTCTCTGTTATGCTTTTTGAGCTGCAGACACTGATTTCATTGAAAATTGGGCTCAAACTGCCAGGCTCAATTTCCAAAGTTCAGAGAGTGGTTGTCCTCTTGGTCACGCAGCTTTTCAGTGACTTCTCATCCAGTTTGGTTGCAACTCATGTTCTAATTGAAGTTTTCTTGAGCTAAGAAGAAACTAAGGATGGCCTTGGGGAGTGTCACCAAAATATGTAAAAGCATGAGCTTGTTCTCAAATACATGGAAAGAGATGACTCTTTATTTTATGATGCCAACTATTTCGCTGATTTAATTTATGCAGCTGATGCTGGGTCAGGAAGAACATGCTTCTCACCCCAGCAGCCTCCCCCATTAGAAGATGTACACATTTTGTGCAAGGAAACTGCCTTGCAGCACCACTCTGTTCCTTTTTATGCAAACAAGTGTTGTTCTAAACTGATAATTTTAAAAATTAGTGGCAGACTTCATAATTTCCAAGTAATTTAGTTATCATTCAGACCATAGTTTTTTTGGGTTTTCTCTCCTAAGGTTGCCAAAAAACACTCCTAATTAGTACCAATTATAATTGGGTCTGCTGGTAGGTGGTCTGCCACGTTAATTTTATACCACATGAAAGCAGACACCTGGGTTAGACTGCAAGTAGAGATGCTGTTGCAGTGCATGGAATGTATTTCCAAGTAATTTAGTTATCATTCAGACCATAGTTTTTTTGGGTTTTCTCTCCTAAGGTTGCCAAAAAACACTCCTAATTAGTACCAATTATAATTGGGTCTGCTGGTAGGTGGTCTGCCACGTTAATTTTATACCACATGAAAGCAGACACCTGGGTTAGACTGCAAGTAGAGATGCTGTTGCAGTGCATGGAATGTAATGTAACTCCAAAAACCAAGGGGCCTTATTTTGTGTGTGGACTACAGAGCTTCAGGGACAGTTGCGTTGTAGGCAATGAAACCAACTCTATGTTGTCTGCTCAGCTCAGGGTTTCTTTTTCTGCCCATGGTCCCACTGTGGTTTGTGTCATCTGGGTCATTGGTGGCCATCCTCTGGGAATTGTGTCACTCAGGAGTGACCTCTTGTGGAAGAGCCTGGGCTCGAGTCACTATCGATTGTCAGAGGGGATCAATTCCCCTTCTACTCCCCCTTTTCTGGATGGAAACAAACAGCTCCGCAGTAGGAAGAGTGCCCTTTGGCTACCGTATCAATCTGAGGGCTGCTCTTGTCAAAATGCACAATCACAAGCTTGATAATGCAATCCATTCCCAAAGCACTATATTTCCAACCTGTTCTCCATCATTTCCTTATGGCGTCACATTTACTCAGTTCATCACATTCTTATTAATATTTTAGGTTTCCTTGAAAGTGATGGAATTCTATTTTTATTACAAAAGCAACAAGAATAAATACTAATTGTTGTCAGTTATTTCCTTATGTAGTGGGAACAGTAATCTGTTCCTCAGCTTTAGGTTGCCAAAGCAAAATAATGAAATATTTTAGACATTTAAAAAAATCTGTGATATTAGATAAATGCAATTTGATCTCCTTGTTTGCCACATAAAAGCTGGAACTGCCTGAATTGATAAGATTGAATTGCATTATTTTTATTGTTTCTACTTGCATATTTTTTTCCTTATCTTCAAGAACACTTTACTTAAAACCCAGTGGTTAGTCATGCAGCACTGTGACAGAGCCTGGAAAATCTCCTCCATGTTGGAATTCTAGCTTGAGGTGCCACAACTAGAGCATCAAGATTTTTACAAAGTGAAATATATATGTGTGTATTTGTGTGAACAGGAATGTCTTGATGAGTTGTGCAGTATTAGTGCTATTCATAATCATTTTAGTGTCTTAACAAGAGTAGCTGTGGATCCAGGCTTCATTGTGCCAGACACAATGTGACACCAAAGACAATTCCAGCTCTCAGCCTGAATAAGGACAAGTTGCAACAGGTGGAAAAAGCAGCCAAAGGCAGGGGGTGGAAGGAAAAGTTGACAGCAAAGCCAACATGTCATGCATATTAAACAGCAGGCTTGGGATTCCTTTCCACTCTTCCTAGGATCAGGGTCTTATCCCCAGCACCCTGGCCACCAGCCAACTCAAATAATGATATTTTCCTTACCTACATTCCTCTTGGACTTTCAACAGGGAGAGATGGGCCTTTTAGTCCCAAAGGGTGATGCATTGCTCTTGGGATGCCACGGCCCTTGCATGCTTCCTAGGGAATGGTTGCAGGGCAGTGTCTGGGAATACACTTCCTAGCATCTTTTAAATCAAGATAAAAATTGTAACCTTTGGATCATAACTTCAATTTGCCTCCAGAGGTAATTGCTATAAAGTCATCTGGACTCTGAAATCTGCTTTGGTTTCTTTAAAGACTCAGTGTAAGTCAGGCATCCTGTCCCTAGTGTTTGGTCATGGACTTTGTGTGCTTTAAAATTGCCCAAAATGGCTTTGCTAGTTTCATTCACTTTCCCTTACTTCAGAAGGTTGAATTTTGAAACTTGAGCATGGCATGTATTTGTCCTTAAGCAACTGCTAAAGCATCCAGAAGCATCTCTGAATGCAGTTTGGTATATAATTAAAACTGTACAATGTGTGTGGGGAGAAAAAACCCCGACAACAGAAACCCATTTTGGTCATTTATTAAATGACATGATGGAAGAAGTGGAAAATTTGGTGGAGTTTTCACCCTTCCTGGCTCCATGTGGAG